TCAAGAAAGGTGACAACGCTCTCTTGAAGAACTACAGACCGATATCCCTTCTGAGCCGCGTCTACGTGCTGTTTTCGAAAGTCATTACTAATCGTCTCGCACGCAGACTCGACGACTTCCAGCTTTCCGAAAAAGCCGGTTTCCGAAAAGGCTTTAGCACCATACACAACATACATACCCTTCAGCAAATTGTACAGAAGTCCGAAGAGTACAATCTGCCACTTTCCCTGACGTATGTGGACTATGAGAAAGCCTTTGATTCCGTCGAAATTTGGGCGGTGCTTCAGTCTCTTCAGCGGTGCCAAGTTGACTGTCGGTATATCGAAGTGCTGAAGTGTTTGTACAGTAGGGCTACGATGGCTATCCGAGTATAGAACCAGAGTACGAAACCTATCCAACTGCAGAGAGGTGTAAGACAGGGTGACGTTATAACCCCGAAACTCTTCACCGCTGCGTTGGAAGACGTTTTCAAGTAACTGGACTGGATAGGATACGGTATTAACATCAATGGCGAGTACATCACTCACCTTCGATTTGCCGACGATATAGTCCTGAAGGCTGAATCGCTGGAGGACCTAAGCACTATGCTCAATGACCTCAATAGCGTCTCCCAACGGATAGGTCTTAAGATGAACATGGACAAAACAAAGATCATGTTTAATGTCCATGTCACACCTATGCCCGTAGTTGTTGGGAGCACTAAGCTCGAAGTTGTTGACGAGTACGTTTACCCGAGACAAATAGTCCGACTAGGTAAGTCCAACTTCGACCGAGGAATCAACCGAGGGATTCTACTCGGCTGGGCAGCGTTCGGGAAATTACGACACATCTTCTCGTCAGGTATATATACTAAATATACCTCAAAAACTGAAAACTAAACTGTATAACCTATAACCAGTGCGTGTTGCCAGTGATGACCTATGGAACTGTGACGTGGTCCTTCACTGCTGGCCGTATGAGGATTGAGGACGCTCAAAGTCGCTCAGCGAGCTATGGAGAGGGCTATGCTCGGAGTTTTTCTGCGTGATAAACTTAGAAATGAGGATATCCGCAGTAGAACCAGAGTGACCGACATAGGCCAACGGATTAGTAAGCTGAAGTGGCAATGGGCCGGCCATATAGCTCAAAGATCTGAAAAGCGCTGAGGAAAAAGGTTCTCGAGTGGCAGCCTCGTACCGGTAGGCGTAGTATAGGGTGACCGGGGGGTCTAGACTAGATGGAGTGACGACCTTGTAAGACATGCAGGAAGTCGATGGATGCAGGTGGCTCAGGACCGTGCTTTGTGGCATACCTTGAGGGAGGCCTATGTTCAGCGGTGGACTTGTGAAGGGCTGTAATGATAATGATGAAATAAAATAATGCTTTTACTTATTTAGTCAATTTATTGCTTTTTTTCTTGGAATGAAAAATATTAAAATGCAGATAATTAATAATAGTAGTAATAGGCCCGTAGGGCAGCTTGCAGCGAGCTGTTATTAAGTGCTTGCGACATCACATCACATGCCAAGCGGACTTGAGATCAAGAAGTGTAGATACAAAATAATGATAGTAATAAAAATAATACACATGAATATGTAATTAAAAATCGCATTTTTCTCTATTTAATTTATTTTTGCGTTATTCGGAATTTTTTATCAGATCTATTTTAACGAACCTACTTTAGGCACCAGTCTTTCACAAAGCTAACCTAAGTATAGCAATTACTGTTTGTGAAGAGAAAATAAATAAATGATTATGAATAGTATCTATCAAGTTTTCTTATGTGGTTTGGTTCTATAAATATATATTTAAAAATGAAAACGAAAAGATAAATATAAATAAATATCAAAAAAAAAATACAAAAAATACATAAATAAATAAAAGCCCAACCAGATGGAAGCCCTCGGCAGGGGAGACCAAACGGCTAAGGGTTAGGGGGAAAGGGAAAGAAACCGGCGGACGATTCGTGCGGTATCGAGGAGCACCGCCTTCTGCATTTGAGCCCGGAGCGGTCCGTCACGGAGTCCCAGTCGCGTTAGAGGCTGACTGGGATTAGCCCATTCGCAGAGACGACTACAGGATTAATTTCGGTCGACAGACCACCCCACATGTCGGTCACCCCGTGAACCAGATCCAGATATTTTGTTTTTTTACCTGATTCGGCTTTCACTAGGTTCTCGTCATATGGAATGGTAATGTCGACCAAAAATATCCTCGACTGTGCCCGGTTCATCAGCACAATAGCAGGCTTATTCGCAAGAATAGTCCTGTCTGTGATGATGGCCTGGGCTGGCGCGGTCATTTTCGAGCACGGCTTCCGGCAAGTACTTATAATAAGGCAGTTTCCGATCCACCAGATCGTATTTCAGAGCGAGCTCCTGGTGTAGAATTTTGACTACGTACGGTTATGCCTGTGCAAGTAGTGTTAGGAAGCGCCGAACAACCGGAGATGACATGTCTAAGAGACTGAACCGGATGGCGACAAGCTCGACAGACGTCGACGGTGCCATCCTTTAGGATGTATCTCCGATAGATGTTGGTCTTAATAACCTGACCCTGTATTGCACAAATAAAACCCTCGCTTTCCCCGAAGAGGTCACCGAAACATCGAAAATCCACTGGCTGGATAGAGGCAACTGTATCTACGAAGGGCTCATGTAGAGCCCTGTAGTACCTCCAGTGGAGCTCCTTCTCCTTCCATACGGTCTCCCGGTCGGAAATACTATTTAATGCTGGGTCTTGTCATTGCTCGTTGGTTAAGAATAGAGGGTAAGCCCTTTATCACTAGAAATGACGTCATTGTAGAATGGATCATCCGATCTCGCCAGGAAGTAATGACGGAGGCAGCACACTTCGCGATTATGCATGGTGAGCGCGCTCAGAAAGCCACGCCCACCATGCTTTCGCAGCAAGTACAGCCTTATTACCGACGATTGCGGATGATGCATCCTATGGGACATCATGGTAGTGCGGACTTTTCTATCCAGGGCGTTAAGTTCAGTCTGAGTCCACCTGAGTATGCCAAAGGTATACATGAGGACAGGCATGACCCAACCGTATAAACGTACGAAGTAACCGTAAAGATTGGCTGTTTCATACCAGCCTCATTGATACCGATGTTCTGTGACATACCCAGGTATCGGCATGTTTCAGCCTCGTAAAGGGTTCTTAAGTTGACGGGCATAAATAAACCTTTCCCCCTTCAACATGGAGGATCGCACACTTATCCGTCCCCAGCTCCATTCCAATAGAATTGCTAAATTCACAAGCGATGTTTAGCAATTCCACAAGATGGGAGCGACTGGAGGCGAATAACTTGAGGTCATCCATATAGAAAAGGTGGGTCACTTTTGTATCTCCTTTCCGAAACTGAAATCCCCTCCCGGAGCCCTCTATATATATATATAATATAATCGGAATCTCGGAAACGGCTCCAACGATTTTCATAAAATTTTGTGTGCAGGGAGTTTCGGGGGCAATAAATCGATCTAGCTAGGATTTATTTTTAGAAAATGTCTTTTTGTTCGTGTTTTTAGGCAATGAAAAACTGTTACAATATCGTTAGAATAAGAAGGTAAATTTTGACAGTTTATTAATGATTACAAATAGCTTAATTGCTATATTGGGCGGTCACAAAATCGTAACACTATGGTTCGAGCCCAGACCGACCGACCGACTTTTTTAATTTTTTTTTCCAAGTTCGTTTATTTTTTGAGAAAATCAATTTTTGCGTGCCCTTTTTTTAATTTTTTTTAAAAACACGAAAATTTAAATAAAACAAATTGCACTCATGATTTTTTATTCAAATAACCAGTTCAGTTTTTTCTATTATGTCGCTACGATCAAAAAATATTATTCGTATTTCATCAGTATGTAATTTGTATCTAAATATAATTTTCAAAACACACGAATTAAAAAAAAACCGAGCGAAAAATACCGAGCAAAGCTCGGTCAACCGGGTACTCATAATAAAATTACAAGTGCGACGTCATATATATCACGGTCAAAATAGAATTAGGATGAAAGACGATCACACTGATCACCTTAGTAGTAGGAAATTAAGATGATGTTGTCGTCCCTGAGAACCAAGATGAAATGCCTCGTTATCGTTAAAAAGGTTCACCACGAATTTACCATAGATGTATGGCTATGAGGGGTTCTGCAATTTTACGCTGTTTCTGTGAGAGCGTGGTCTTTTGTAAGTCGAGTCGATCCGTTCCTGCTGCAGCCATATTACAGCTGCAGCGTTGCTCAACACCGCAAATCTAAGTACCTGCTAACAGTGCTAACGTTATGATAAAAGCCAAATGACAAAAGTAGTGCCTATAAATTTATTTATTTCTTTCGTCTGCCATGAATCTTTTCTATGATAGTAGATCACGCGCTCAGCATGCAGGATAGCGTTCACAGTAATATAAACGTTTAGCAACTTTGATGTTGGTACCGTCGCCTTTCGCCGGATGACAAGAAACTGTTTAAAAAATATAAAACTGTTTTTTATAACCCTTCACACGTGGTAGAGTTAGACTGTATCTATATTATAGTTGTATCACAAAAAGGTTGGTTTAACTGGAAAAGACCACGATCGCACTAAATACTAAAATAGCAACTCAGTACAAAACTGTGATTATATCAGCTGTCAAGATAAATGCAAAAGATTTGCATTGACAAGGAAGAATGACTGATAATTCCATTTTAGAAGACTTTTTAACTAAAAGTTTAGACGGTGGGTGTTTTCATTAATCATAATATTATCTCTAAATATATTTGAACTAATTGTTTTTATATAATTTCAAGTTACATTTAAATGAAGTCTCCCAACTTATGGTCAAAGTCTCGCAATAATATAAAGAGAAAAAAAAAACTACATTACTAAAACATAATACATTACGCCTATAAATGCGCGTTAGTCAGATCTCGTGATATTGTGATTTACTTATTTATTCTTATATATAAAACTTAAAGTAAAGGGTGTACTGACAGTAGACTTGCAAAATGCTGGAAGGCAAATCGCAAATTTTCTAATTTTCTATTACTGCTGCTTGATCAAATGCTACAAAATTTTGTTTATCAGCTTCGCAGATGGCCTCGTCCATTTCACTGTTTTGCGGGAAATGTCGTTCAAGTATTGATTTCGGTGACACCTGAAATTAAATAAGCTCATTTTATAATGATTTCTTATATTTACGCGAACACTATACATGATTAAAACTACTTTTACGGATTTTATCGCGTTTATTTTTACTTTTTATTTGCTTTCATTTTTAATTCCCGACGTTTCGGGCGCTTTCCAGCACCCATGGTCACGGGGGACTGAGATGACTGACGTCCCTATGTCTTTGTTAAACCCGGAGTACCTTCAGCTCTTTTAATTATTGTTTATGGTCCGATCTATGCAAAATGAACTGACTATGTCCTGAGGTCTTGCAGTGGTATGCTTGGGTTTAGTTTTAATTTGATTGATTATAGGATCCCAAGCAGATGGTAGTACCCAGCCTCCTTCTCTATTGAAATCTTTCAATAGAGAAGGAGGCTAGGTACTGGAAACGTGACCATGGGTGCTGGAAAGCGCCCGAAACGTCGGGAATTAAAAATAAAAGCTCATTTTAATTTAATACCTTTAGCCCATCATGAGTCCACTAGGCCTCCTCTTAACTATAGGAATTTTGCCATAGTTGCCACGCTTGGCAAGCGCATTGGCAAACGTTTTTTATTATTTTCAGTTGTTATCAGAAGATTTTGCTGCCCATCTCCTGGTTTATTTTCACTCTGTCGCCTCTTACGACACCACACACGTCTATATATCAGAAACATTAAAAGCCTAAAAAAGTTCAAAAAGGAAGTAAATACATATTTAACGAAAAAATGCTATTACTCGTTGCAGGAGTTTTTAGTGACTAATTAGGAAATAGGAATAATATAATATGATCTCGTTAATATTTAAGTTAATTGTAAATATTCATTACTTGATAACTTTATTAGTAATACCATAATGTAAATGTAATAATAATAATAATGATTGCCAATATTTGCAGTGCCATTGCAGGGTTCTTGTTTAGAACAATTTTTATAATTAGGGCCATATGTATACAACAAGATTAGCAAATAAATTGAATTGAATTGAATATAATATATATATATATATATGTGTATAACTTTTCTGCCCGGAACGTATGTGACTGAATCCTCCTAAACGGATGAACCGATTTTGATGATATTTGGTATGTGTGATTGAGTTTTTTTTAATAAGTTACTTAAGGGTGACAAACGAGCACACAGTCCACCTGAAGGTAAGTGGTTGCTGAGGCCCATAGATATCTACACCTACCCTCGATTACGAATCAAAATACAGATGCGTTGTCACCCGTGTGCACTGAGATGGAATGCCTCGTTTTCAGCAAAAAGGGTCTCCGGTTCTCAACATTCACCATACGAAACACAGCAGCGTTAAGCTGGTATTCTGAAGTTGATTCGGGAATGGTTTAGATTCACAATTAGACCCGGTAGGTGGCGCTGTTAGATAGATAGATAACTCTTTATTGCATTTGAACAAAGTTATTACAGTAACGGAAAACTTATGAACTACAAACGGTGGTTATATCGCTTTAAGCGATTTCTCTCAACATACATGCCTACAAGCTAACAGATGGATAGCATCCAACACGCTTGCAACATTAGATACATTGTTTTATATATATATATATATATATATATATATATATATATATATATATATACATAAATAAATAAATATAAATACATATACATATAATGTATATAAATAGATATGTACAATAATTTTAATTTAATATATTCAAGTTTCAAGTTTAATACATTCAAGTAGGTGGCGCTGTTGTGCAAAGTCGGGGCGGATCACTAGTTTATTTATGAACTATTTCAAATAGGTTTGTTTACATTCATACATAAATACGGGTTAAGCTAAAAATGCGTGTTGAAAAGATGCGAAGACAGACTTAACTATAGACAAATATTTTCTCGAGCTGACATTTAAAATAATAAAGTAAAGGAGTGGAATAATATGCCAGCGTCTGATTTTTTCCCGCCCAATATGTTTGTTGTTATACGTGGTATACGTTTCATACGTGGTAGATCTATGCTGCAGTTGTATTAGAAGTGTAGTTGTAGCACGAATGGATCGGCTCGAAATAGGAGCGTAATGCTGCTGTGTCTCGTATGGTGGGTGTAGAGAACGGGAGACCCTTTTTACTGGAAAAGAGGCATTTCATCTTAGTCCTCACGGGTGACAACGCATCTGCATTTTGATACGTAATCGAGGATAGATGTGGATGTCTATGCGCCACAGCAAACACTTACCATCAGGTGGACTGTGTGCTCGTTTGTCACCATGTCCTATAAAAAAAATCTTGGCGTCTCCAAGGCAAGTTTGAATAGACTTTTGTAACGCTAGGACAGTACGATTTACCATCCAGGGCTTCACAACTTACCACCAGCAGGGATTCTGGTCGAGCAATGGCTTACATTAAGTTATAAAAAAAATCAGGACCTGCGCCTGACATACTCACAGTTATGCTGACTGTGGAATAAAGTATAAACGTCTATAGTACAAAATATAAACTCCTCAGTATAAAGTTTCCGAGTATTTAAGAACAATACAGATGCAATATATTTTATTTTTATTTTGAATGTGAGCATTTACATCTGAATCCATTGTGCGTTTGTGCCAATGTAAATTGCTTCATCATCATCATTACAGCCCTTCACAAGTCCACTGCTGAACATAGGCCTCCTCCAAGTAATCCCATAAAGCACGGTCCTGAGCCACCTGCATCCATCGACTTCCTGCATGTCTTACCAGGTCGTCACTCCATCTAGTGGGGGATCGCCCTACACTACGTCTACCGGTACGAGGCTGTATACGAGTATGTAGATTGATTAGGCTAATGTAATTATAATTGTTCCGGTTTAAGTTTAGAAATTTATCGTAAAAAGCTATGAAGTTGTTGTTTCTTGTCAGTCCAAAATGTACTTAGATTAAGTTACACATTCTTTAAAAAGCGATTGTCTAATTACTCATCGCCGTAACGCATGTTAAGACCATTAAACAACACTTATGATAAAAGTAAAACAATGATTATTATTATTTTCGTTTGGTTAAATAATAACACGGAATACGTCAGCCATTTTTAGTTTGTTTTTGAGTCAACAGAGTTGTATTCGTTAAATTATGTATGGTTTTTTCATATTCTTTTGCCCTCCTCTTTACCAGCCTTCTAAACTGCTGTCCTGAAGCCTTTCCACGATGCTTGTAAGGATTGTATGGATTGGATACCTATTCCGTCAGTCGTCGGTCGCCAAAACCTCATTGGCTAGCACGGTGCAATGTGTGCAGGTGACAATGAAACATGGAAAATAGAGACACTTGTCGGAATAATAAATCAGTTTTTTTTTTTAAATATATAAGACCAAACTAACAGCCCTATAGATATCGCATGCCCGTCGCGTATGCGGTGTGACAGGCGCCGACGCCGGCCGCGCCGCGTCCCGTGCGCATGCTAAATGAATAGTAGACAAGCGTAATATGAGATCTACAGTTCAAAGGGTCCTGTATAGCGTAACTATTTAATTTATTATTAGTACAATATATAGTTTTATGACCATTTATATTTAAAAACGTATTGTTATAGTTACGTTTTCATAAATATTATCAATCAGTTTGCCTGTCTATATAAAATATAATTATGATTACAATTATAGACAAAACTAGTTCAAAAAAAATGTTTAGTTAGTTATACGAAAATATGCGGGTTTCCATATACAATATTCATAGCACATGTATTTACCGCGAATCACAGAGGTCAGGTTGTATGTTGTGGATTCAAATGAAAAAAAAAACCAGTCTATATTTATGCAACGCCCAGGATTCCAACCAAGATGTATTAACGTTTTTAAAAGACTAGTTATTACCTGTGAGTGCCTTTATTGCTTATATTATGCCTTTGCCTGTTTCACTATATTTATTTCCGGCAAAGGTTTTCCGTTCGCCGAAACCCTACAAAAAATTTCACAAAAACTAAACCAAGACGAACGTGCGCTCGATTTCTGATTAATGCTGCTTACCTTCCTAGCCTTGACGTGTTCAAAGTTAAACCCCATGTAGAGCGCAGACTGTTGCAATTGTCGTAAACTTCTCATGCGCACTTTTGGATCTCGTTCTAACAAGCGCATTAGTAATGCTCGCGCCGCATTGGACAACTGGTTCGCGGTTTCTGGGAGGGTGCCTGGTAAAGGCTGCATGCAAAGCTGCCTTTGCCCTTCCTTCTCTTCTTTACTCGCGGTACTACTGATAACAAAAACACATTGTACACATATTTAAATGTATATAGATAGAAAACATTGTCATCACGTACCCGCTTCGGAGAATTTGCCGAAGTAACAGTAGGCTGGGTACAAGGATTTTGATTAATCTCTAACAATAAATAAAAAATAAAAATATAATTTCTATTTTTTTTTATTTTTTTATTATAATGGATTTCCAAATAAGCCTTTATTCATATCACCTCGTTTTTATTTGGGTATTTTAGGTCTGGTGCATTTGTAATGTTTTTTTCTATTATAATATAATTATAATGTGTCTACTAAATCTATCTAAAGTTGCGTTTAACAGTGATAGCTCACGAAATAGAAATAAGTGATGAAATTAAAATATCATAGAACGCAAACAAATTAAGCTCGATCATTAATTACTACCATTAAAAAATTGTTGATAGCAGTTAAAAGTGCTGATGTTTTAATCCATGAAGAAAAACTTTGGTAAAATGAGACAAAAAGTTTGTGCCCACGAGAGATACATAATATATAGGTTGTATTTTAACTTTTATTAAAGTGTTGCCTGTTACTTCACTTACTATCAGTTTGTGAATGGAACAACCTTCATGAGCGTGAAAAACAGTACCTATTCTAAAATGTGTATCACGTGGTAGAGCCATGCTGCACCTATAAATTATAGCTACTTGTACTACAACCATATTATAGCCTATAATATGGTTGTAGCATAAATTGGTTGGCCCAACTAGAAAAAGACCACGCTCTCACAGAATACCATCGTAAAATAGCAGCTTTATTCTACTTGCGTTTCGTATGGGGAATACAGAGATCCGCAAAAGCTAGGCATTCTATCTTAGTCTTCAAGGGTGATAACGCATCTGCATTTCAATTTTCAATCGGAGATAGATGCAGATGTCTATGGACCTCGGCATTAACTTACGATTAGATAGACCCTTTCAGGAATGAGGGGAGGCCTGTGCCCAGCAGTGGGACGTATATAGGCTGTAACTTTACTTTTTTTTAGATAGACTGTGCTCGTTTGGCAATCTTATTTCAACAAAAAGAGTTTGATTCTATTGCTAAATGTGTCTAATTTTATGTAATGTATATTTTATTTTTTTATTAAGACTACGTGAATTCGTTGTCAAAGTACTTATATACTTGTTTCATTGTGGATTCATGGGTTACCATGGGTTTGTATATGTGATATATACAAAACAAGATATTGTTGAAATCCAGGTCTCTTTTTATACATGTACTCGTAATAAGAATGACAATCGAGTCCACAGCCCACCGGCGGTAAGTGGACGCTGTGGCCCGTAGTTATTTACATCTATTTTTTTATAGAATATGGGTGACAAACGAGCACACAGTCCACCTGATGGTAAATGGATGCTGTGGCCCATAGACACCTAAATTTATCCTCAATTTTACAATCAAAATCAGTAAAAAAAAGGGTCTCCTGATCTCTACACTCACCACACGAAATACAGCAGGATTAAGCGGCTACTTTACGCTGGTATTCTGTGACAGCGTGGTCCTTCTCCGGTCGAGCTGACCCCTTCGTGCTACAACCATAATATAGCTGCAGCGTGGCTCAACCACGTATGAAATCAAAATACCCCGATTAAGAATCAAAATGCAGATGCCTCGTAATGCTTTAATGTTACCAGTAAAAAGTGTCTCCGGTTTTCATTACATACCGTAACTAACAGTATAACAGCATTATGTTGCCATTTCACGCTGATATTCCGTAACAGAGTGGCTCTTCCCCGGTCGGGCCGACGCATTCCTGCTGCAGCCATATTATAACTGCTGCGGGATTATACCAAGTAAACGTTGTATTTTTTATTATATGGTCATATTTCTCAACCTTACGCAAAAGCGTTACTTTTTTTTAATAGGAACACAGTGCGACGCAGTGGTTGGATAATCAGCCAAGAAGTCAATCCTTATCATATTTACTTTGAATTAGCTTATGGTAGGTATATAAGGCGTCTGCTACGCAAAAACCATCAAGCAACCAAAGTAGTTCGTGAATATAATTAAATCGCTGGGCCGTGGAATAATTCTCTCTCTGATGCACAATGAATACGAAACAAAGAAGTGCATAAAATTGGAAGAAATTAGAAGACTATTAACGTAGAATTTTTGATTCAATTTGACAAACAGCCCACCTAACAGTAAGGCTCTTGTAGTTCTTGAAGATTGCAAACAACTTTAAACAAGCAAGGTCACATGTGAGGAATATGATTAAAGGACTATAGGAAAAGAAAAAAATATGACTTCCGATATTTGGCGGTATTTTTTATAGGATAGGGTGACAAACGAGCACACAGACCACCTGATGGTAAGTGGTGGCTGTGGCCCATAGACATCTACATCTTTCCTGAATTACGAATCAAAATGCAGATGCGTTGTCACCCGTGAGGACTAAGATGGATTGTCTCGTTTCCAGTAAAAAGGGTCTCCGGTTTTCTACACTTACCATACGAACCACAGCAGCATTAAGCTACTATTTGATGCTGGTATTCTGTAAGAGCGTGATCCTTCCCCGGTCGAGCCGACCCGTTCGTGCTACAACTATACTACTAATATAACTGCAGCATGGCTCTATCACGTAAAATATAATATAGTAAGTACATTATAATAGTAATATATAATAGTAAGTATATTCATCTCTTTTACCGTTACTGATACCGTTACAGTCTATTAAAGTCCACTGCTGAATGCCTCCACCATAGATTGCCTCAAAGTGGGGATATTTGGCTTAGTTGCCATGCTTGGCAAGCGGGAAGGCGACCACAGTATTTTTAGTCTTAAATATTAAGACGCTGCTGCCTATCTCCTGATTTGTCTCCCGCTGCCGCCTCTTGCGACACCCACGGGATGATACGGGCTAGTGGATATTCTTATACCGCCACTAATAAACCTTAAGTTAATTAATCAACCGACGACGAACGGCAGCGTTAACGATGCAAGACGTCTCGTATTGCGATCATCGATCCGATTGCCAAGCGTCAAGATTAAGGCCGATTCTCCATGCTCCATGTTGAGCTATCAACTTCACGGGTTGATGAACAATAAGAAAAAAAAGTTTACAGCTTATAAGCCCGATAATGATGTTATTAGGCCCTATTTTAAAAAAAAGTAGTTTATATTTAGTCTCAGGTTCTCAAACTGCAATCTGTTTCACGAAATAATTAGAAGAAATATGCGAGCATAGATGTAAAGTATGTAATTTGACAACAAACGTCAGAAATGTGCTGCCCATTGAATACTATAATACACAATAGAATGGCTGTCAAACTTATTTTGTACGAGATTCAGCGTCGCCAGGGGCGTGTGCTTACAACACAAGCAATTATGTCGTATTATCACTACTACAAACCCGATTCGCTGTTTTGACATACTGAGTAAATTTAAACATTTTAGACTTTTGATTAATGTTCAAAATCATCATTAAAAAAATCGTTTAAATTTTAACATATATTTTTAAGTAAATAGTGTGCAATTTGGTATTTCCTAAATAATTTGCATGCGAAATTTGGAAACGATTGTTACATTAAAACACATCCAGTGTTGACGTGTGAATTGACATGTTAGTGACATTTTAGTGGCTACACGAGCTCCGCCCACTCCCCCGTTCTATTATATATGTATTATAGTATTCTACGGTGCTGCCACAGCTAAGGGAACTCTTTAGTTAGAAGGACTCATTGTAATATTTGTTTCTTTAGATTTTTTCTCAGGTATTTTAGATTTTAGGCAATTTATATAATTAACAATAAATGTCTATACATACAAATCAATTGCCGCCCGTTAGTCTCGCAAAACTTGAAAATGGCTCGACTGATTTTGAAGAAATTTGTTTCTGTATGTGAGTTGGAAACTGGATGGTTTAGATAGTACACAATTCGGCCCATCAGGTGGCGCTGTTGTCGAAATCCAGAAATCACCCGTGCGAAGTCGTGGCGGATCGCTATTATAATATAGATGTAATGTTACTAATCATTTTATGGACATATGTCTGAAATAAAGTTTTATTATTATTATTAAACTATAGTTTAAGCGTGAGACTATCAATAAACTACGTTTTGTAATAAGACGGAATAAGTTCAAACCGTACCTTGAAATATTCGCGGAGTCACTTGCTAGGCCATCTGTAGATAGATTTTCATCGTTGTCTTCGTTAGGCGTTACTCCTATCGCAGGCGCCGGGTACTGCAAAAGAAAAGAATGCATTGAAGTTAAACAATATGATCTTTTTCTTCCTAAGAAATTGAAAATAATATTTTTAATTAAAAGACTAATTTTTTTAAAAATAGAATTAGGATGACAAACGGGCACACAGTCCACCTGATGGTAAGTCGATGCTAATGCTAATGGATTTAATTGAAGATTTACCTTCAATTAAATATCAAAATGCAGATGCGTTGCCAGTCCTGAGGACTAAGGTGGAATGCCTCATTTCCAGTAAAAAGGGTCTCCGGTTCTCTTTACTAACCATACGAAACACCAGCATTAAGCTGCTATTTTACGTTGGTATTCTGTGAGAGCGTGGTCCTACCCCGGTCAAGCCGACCCATTCGTGCTGCACCACAATATTGCTGCAGCATGGCTCTACCATGTTAAAAAATTATACATACTTATGTCATAGCACCAAATTCTAAAGCTATTAACGGAAAATTATTTTATTATTTTTATACGTTTGGAGTAGCCTTTTACTTTTCATATACTTATACACAATAGACTATTTTTTACCATTTGAGTGGACTAAGGAATGTAATAAGTTTGAATGTCGTCTGAATAGTTAAGTTAAAACCATCATTAGCCTATTCCTTTACCATTCATCATCATCATCATTACAGCCCTTCACAAGTCCACTGCTGAACATAGGACTCCCACAACATAGATAAGGCAAGGCATGCCACAAAGCACGGTCCTGAGCCACCTGCATCCATCGACTTCCTGCTTGTCTTACCAGGTCGTCACTCCATCTAGTGGGGGGGGGGGGTCGCCTTACACTTCGCCTACCGGAACGAGGGTGGCCACTCGAGAACCTTTTTTCTCCAACGGTTGTCGGTTCTTCGAGCTATATAGCCGGCCCATTGCCACTTCAGCTTACTAAACCGTTGGGCTATGTCGGTCACTCTGGTTCTACTGCGGATATCCTCATTTCTAAGTCTATCACGCAGAGAAATTCCGAGCATAGCCCTTTCCATAGCTCGCTGAGCGAATTTGAGCGTCCTCATACGGCCAGCAGTGAAGGACCACGTCTCGGTTCCGTAGGTCATCACTGGCAACACTCACTGGTTGTACAACTTAGTTTTCAGGTTTTGAGGTATACCTTTACCATTAGGGGCGGAATTTTGATGCATATTTATACAGGGCCGCTCTTGAAGTATAACCGATTTAATAAAAAAGAAGTCATTCATAATATGATTACAATTGACAAAGATATGGAGTAACAAACATAAATACGAAAAAAAAGAAGATACAGTCGAATTAATAACTTCCTCCTTTGTAAGGAATCGGCATGGAGGACTCGAAACCTGTCTATTACAGAGAGTTTTTTCTAGGAATAGCTCCAAATGAAAATGAAGTTCTTCTGATTGAAGAAGAAACTGCAAAAGAAATGTCGTTTTTGACGTGTACCCCTATTTGTCATTGCTTTGAATAAAATAGTGGCCATATTTATAGAAATCGTCGCTCCATATTGTCCGTGGTCGTCTCACTTAACCTTTCAACCACGGTTTCAACTCCGTGACACGTCTATTTCAACGGTTGACAATTTTAATAACAAATACGATCCGCACTGGCATTTTTCCTGGCTTCCTGATGATAAGTGGTTGTTGTGGCCCATAGACATCTATGGATGGATATCGTCGATAAGATCAAAATGCAGATGCGTTGTCACCCGTAAGGACTAAGGCAGAATGCGTCGTTTCCAAAAGGGTCTCCGGATCTCTATGCTCACCATACGAAACACAACAGCGTTAAGCTGCTATTTTAAGCTGGTATTTTGTGAGAGCGTGGTCCTTCCCCGGTAGAGTCGACCCATTACGAGTAAAAAAATCAGGCAATTCAGGTTATTCAGTTCGCAAGCACGGAAGGCTTTGCTGCTAATCTTGGTTTTCCGGGAAACTACGTCATTACAAATTATTGGAAAGATTTCGCATAGCTCTTTCTATATGTAGCCGTATCGTCTGGGTCCAGGTGCCAATATGATATGCGAGTACAGGCATGACACCCTGGTTGAAGGACTTTTATCTAAAGACTGAAGTATAAATGACAAAACACTAAATGCTGCCCTGCCTAAACCAATATTCCTAATAGCTTCTTTTTCGAATTTATTCTTGGAAAACCAGACTAACCAATCATTGAAAGTAACTTTTTTTCAAACGACTTAAATGAAAAAAATACTAACACTTTACTTAATGGTAAGTGGCTGCTGAAATCCATGGCCTCCTGGTGCCAAGTTCAAATATTGATGGCTATTGATGCGTTGTCACCTTAGAGGCAAAAGAGGAAATATCTGAGAGGTCGTTAGCGTACTGGCTCTCTATACCCTGCAGATAGGGACACAGCAGCACAAGTGCAATTATTTAGATACAGAAGTATGTAAGAAAAGGACTCTTACTCGTAACTGAAATCCTGATGAAGTGACAGTTACATTTTTACGTGAAATAGGCAAGCCGCAGCTATATTATGGCTGCGGCACGAATGGAACGACATGACGACAAAGAATCACGCTCTTTTTGATAACGAGGTATTTCGGCTTAATAGAGGATTGAATTGTGTGTTTATGGGCTATCAATTTACCAGCAGGTGGGCTGTGTACTCGTTTATTCTCATCAATACCTTGAATTATAATTTTATTTTTTTTATAACCTTGAATTATAATTATATATAAACCTTGAATTTTGTTCAAACTCAATCACAGTCGTGAGGATTCATACAGACTGTACAGCATGTCTTAAAATTCATAATTTGAAGAGTGCTGTAGAGTCCGTATGAATTCCGACTGTGTAGATATGAATTTGAACAAAATGCAATTTATAATTCAAGATAATGGTGATAAACGAGCACACAGCCTACCTGGTGGTAAATGGATAGCCCATAAACAATAATTTATTCATATCACATATCAAAGCCCACTGTTAAACGCAGTTCGGACGTTTGGCTGGCGGGTTAGCACCCGCAGTTTTTTATTCCTTATAAGGCCTCTACTTATCGCATAATAAAATTTCTTACAGTAGGCCAGTTACAAAGTTGATTAATAAATGATTGTGTGCACTTTGTTATTAACAACACATATGGGGATAAAATAAATACATACGTCTGCATCATCATCATCATCATCATCATTACAGCCCTTCACAAGTCCACTGCTGAACATAGGCCTCCCCCAAGTAATGCCACAAAGCACGGTCCTGAGCCACCTGCATCCATCGACTTCCTGCATATCTTACCAGGTCGTCACTCCATCTAGTGGGGGGTCGCCCTACACTACGCCTACCGGTACGAGGCTGCCACTCGAGAACCTTTCTTCCCCATCGGTTATCGGTTCTTCGAGCTATATGGCCGGCCCATTGCCACTTCAGCTTACTAATCCGTTGGGCTATGTCGGTCACTCTGGTTTTACTGCGGATACCCTCATTTCTGAGTCTATCGCGCAGAGAAACTCCGAGCATAGCCCTCTCCATAGCTCGCTGAGCGACCTTGAGCGTCCTCATACGGCCAGCAGTGAAGGACCAAGTCTCTGATCCGTAAGTCATCACTGGCAACACGCACTGGTTGTACACTTTAGTTTTCAGAGATTGAGGTATACCTGACGAGAGTCTATATATGTCTATATATGTATATATATATATATATATATATATATATATAGTAAATATCGAAGATTTGAAAGTTAGAAGACAACGATAAAAAATGTTCTTTCAGTCGTTTTTTGAACAATGTCACTGTTTTGATTTCTCGAACGCGAGGAGGTAGATTTGGTTAGTCGATATTAGTAAGATGCTGCTGCCCATCTCCTGGTACATTTCCCTGCGTGATCTCTTACGACATCCGCGGGAAATTGGCGTAGTAGATATTCTTACATCGCCACCACCCTGCGTCAGTATCAACAATCAAAAATATATAAAATATTTGGAAAAACGGCGTGCTGCCGTGTCTACTGGATGATCTTCTTTACCGTCTTGGAAAAAATTGGGTCTGGATAAACTGGATATGAAAAAACTGGGTGGTATTGGGTGGTCGTATTTATTGATAGATCGTTTTCATAATATGTTAATGTAAAAGAAAAAAAGTTTAAAATATCAGCGCCATAGACTTCTATTCAGTTCACTTCTTACACCCATTTTTTCCTGACGGTAAAAAAGATCATTCAGTATAGTCGAGTATGAAATAGCAACTCGACTTATATAATAAAATATAAAGACGGCGGTAAGTCTGACTTAATGGCCAAGGAACATGCGCAATGCATGAACAGAACATACGGGAATTAACATCCAACGACGATTAATTTATAATAAGACGCAATCGCTAGAACGATGATCTTACGCATTATGCGCACTCATTTTAAATAAGCCTCTTGTCCGCTGAAGTAGGGTTGCTATAACCCAATTATTAGTCAGGGAGGCCAAAAAACTTGTGATTTTTTTATAGGATAACGGTGACAAACGCGCACACAGTCCACCTGATGGTAAGTGGTTGCTGTGGCCCATAGACATCTATATTTATCATCGGTAACGAATCAAAATGAGATGCGTTGTCAACCTTGAGGACTAAGATTGAATGCCTCGTTTCCTTCCCCGGTCGAGCCGACCCATTCGTGCTACAACCATAATACAGCTGCAGCGTGACTCTACCACGTATATGATCTGCATTATAATATAGCTGCAGCACGATTGACTGATTGACTCCGTTCACAAACAAACCTACTTAAAACGGATATTAATTAATATTAAATTTCATAACGAATTTTTTCTGAGTTAATAGAGTAAATAGGTACGTGATTAGAACCATTGAGTAAAAAAATACACTAATGTAGAGAATATCGTGGGTGTGACAACCCTATTATATGCAGGGAGCGACACTGCAACCCGTTCGCCAGACTCGTCCGACCGATGAAAAAAGTCCAACTTCACTCGTCCGGCTAAAAATAGAGAGCCTGCGCCTTAATTGCACACTTGGAATTTACAGCACGTTTTAACGATTGTTAGTACATATAGATA